GTGGCGGCGCGCTGGTCGCGGAACTGGGAGACGCCCGCCGGCGCGGCCGTCAACGTCGCCCTTGTCGGCACGGGGGGGGGGGGATGGCGAGCGGGCGAGCGAGAGGGCAGGGCGAGGGAGGAACCCAGGGCGAGGGAGGATCGGGGAGAGGGAGAGGGAGAGGGAGAGGGAGGATCGGGCAGGATCAGGGCGCGCGGGGGATCGAGAAGGAGGATCAGGGACAGCGTTCGGGGATGAGGGGGAATACGGTCTCAACGCGCCCCAGTAAGGGCGCGTGCCTTCCTCTAGGGTGCCCTTTGTGTCCTCGCCTCTGTGGGTGGCCCGTCCTTTGCCGTTTTCACTCGTCGCCCGCCTCCCAACAGGTCCCAATTTCGGCCTCCAAGGGTCTTGCGTCCTTACCACCCGTCCTCAATACATGTGTCCGCTGTAGGCTCAGGAGGGGGAGATGCCTTGACCCGAAACAGACGCCAACACTTCGCCGATAGAGGCCTGATAGCCCACCCCGCCCAGGCACGTGCAGTTTCGCTATCGGGGGCCTATCGGCGATATATCGCCGAGTTCAGGTCGATGTTTTCCGCCTCCCTGAGCTGGCCCCCCCTAACGTTCCCCCTCAGGGGAGGAAGGAGAAGGATAGAAGAGGTAATAATGGAAGGAAGGGAGGAACGGAGGAAGGAAGGACAACAGGAAGGAAGGAAGGAAGGAAGGAAGAAGGACGAGGATGAGCAGGATGAAGAGGAGGAGGAGAGAGGGGAAGGAGGAAAGAGTGGGGGCGGGGGCCGGCGGAGGAGGATGAGGCGAAGGAGGAGTGGGAGCGGGCGGGATTGGAAGCAGGAGGAGGGGGATGAGGAGGAGTGGGACGAGGATGAGGAGGAGGAGGAGGAGGAGGCGGAGGAGAGGAGGAGGATAACGACGACGAAATGATGAGGAGGTGCTGAATGGATTCATGTGGGTGGAGCGGGCGCATGATCCCCCAAGGTTCGCTTAGGCGACCTGTTACGAGCACTGTGAAATATTGTAGTGGCCTCCGGCCAGTGCCGCCGATCCAGGGCGTTCCCGACGCTGTCGAAGACTTCGGCGACGAAGACACGACGAACGCCGAATGTCGACGGAATATCGTCGACCATCGACGAGGACCGACAGCAACGGGGGCGAGGATCACGACGATAGACAATTCACGGCGAGCGATGGCCGACGACCGACGACCAGCGGCGACGACCGATGACGACGATGATGATGTGGAACGGCTGACGACGCGGGCCAGGGCTGGGGCCAGTCAGGAGGGAAAAAAACACACAGACACAATTCATCGTCGAGTCCCAGGAAAATATAGGGGAAAATATGGGAAGTGGGGGGGAAGGCAAAAACCCAGAAAATGTATGAAAATATGGGGAATCTTTTCATTCGTGTGTATTTATTTGTGTGCCCTGGGGCCCCTTCAGCCAGGGTCGGGGCCGAAACCGGGGCCGGGGCCGAGGCCGGGGCCGGGGCCGGGGCCGGGGCCGGGACCAGGGGGCCGGGGGGCCGGGGTCGGAGCCAGGGCCGGGGCCTGGGGCCAGTTGGATGAGGAGGAGGAGGAGGAGGAGGAGGAGGAGGAGGAGGAGGCCTAGACATGCTCGCGCGGTGAACAAAAATCACGACGGAAGGTTTGGCCGCTTGCGGCTTTTGGGGACGGTGGGAGGGAGGAGGAGGAGGAGGAGGAGGAGAGGAGGAGGAGGAAGTTTGGGGGGAGGTGTATGCGCACGTGTAGCACGCTTTCTTGATCAAACAGGAAAGGTTGAACTTAAACGTGCTCCTGACATCGGGCCCCGCTGTTTGCCATCCGAATGGTGATGATGGGTTGTCCAGCGGTGTTGCTGCTGCTGCTGCTGCTGCCGCTCCTCCTCCTCCTCCTCCTCCTCCTCCTCCTCTCCCTCTTCCTCCTCCCCTCCTCCTCCTCCTCCTCCTCCTCTCCTCCTCCTCCTCCTCCTCCTCCCCTCCTCCTCCTCCTCCTCCTCCTCCTCCTCCTCCTCCTCCTCCTCCTCCTCCTCCCCCGTCTCTTGTGAGGAGGGGGGGAAAGAAGCAGCATCTCCCCCTCGTCTTGGACTCCTCTGCGCCTCCCCCGTGGACTTGGAGCCAGACGAGGGTCAAGCGGAAGGGCTTGATACCCAGTTAGCGAGGTCGAGAGATGGGTAGATTGCGGATCCGATCGGACGGCAATCGGAAACCGACACCTGCTCCCATCCCCCCCTAAAGATCATCCGAAGGGTGGCCTATGAGGTGAATGTACATGGTTGTCGGAATTGCGTTGGTTCCGAGCGATGCAGGCCGAAGTTTAGGCCGAAGTCACATGGCCACATGGGCTCGCACGCGTCCATGCTCGTGTCTCGAAATCTCGACTTTGTTCTCAACATAGGAATCGGTGAGTTTGCCGTGCACTGCGGGCATGCGCCTGGAAACACTGATGCGCAACGTGTCTCGAATGTTGCAGTCCTTGGTCGCGTATCCACCGTGCTTGCGAGATGCGGCTTGCGGCTTGCTTTGTTGCACTGGCGGTCGACGGCCTTCTTGCCGCGGTCGGGCACTTTTGGCTCGCCTGCCGCGCGGCTGGCTCTGGCCCGCCACGCTGGGGCGCGGCACGCCGCCCACGTCCCGGTTCCCGAGCGTCGGCATCCCGAGCCCGTCCTGGCCCAGCCCCCCTCGGAGCGAAGCGACGCGCCACCGGTTTGCACGGCAGGGCGTGGGGCCGCCGCCGCGACACGCTTGAGCCACAGTCCCCGACTGTAGAAGTCATCGACGAATCGACGGCTCGGTGCTGGACTGCTGGACCTGTCCGACGGATCTCGTTCTCGCTTGACGCCGGCATTGTGCCGGGAGTCGCATGCGATATGAGATTTCGGGCCACGTTGGTTTGCCACGTGCGTTGTAAGCTTTGTCTGGCCATCCATGATACCAGCTGGTGCCCGGACAGTCGCTGGTCGCGTGTTGGCCGTTATTTGTCACATTGATCGTCGTCTTTCCTTGTCGTCTTACCAGCCGACGTCAGTTACGCAATTTCATTACTTGTCGCTTCAGCCTCCATGTTCTTAGCGGTATCCTCCTCTTCTCACCGTCCTCCTGGCCATTCTTTCTAGGCCTGCCAAATGGGGCCGGAGCAAATATGGTCGGAGGATCTCGCATCATCGCCGATGCATCGGCGATGCGGCTCGACGTGGAGCCAGTTTTTCTCCACGCCGACGGCGCCGATGCAGCGTGATCCCCCGACCCCATCTCTCGGACTCCATTTGGGAGGCTTTCCTGCATCCCCCCTCCCGAGGGGGACGAGTAAGAGGGGAAGGAGGAGGAAGCGCAGGCGGAGGAGGAGGAGGAGGAGGAGGAGGGGGAGGAGGAGGAGGGGGGGGAGGAGGAGGAGGATGAAGTCGACCTGGACGCGCCAGACGAGGAGGAGAAGGACGAGCAGGAGGAGGAGGAGGAGGAGGAGGAGGAGGAGGAGGAGGAGAACAAGGAGGAGGAGAACAAGGAGGAGAAGGAGGAGGAGGAAGAGGAGGAGAATGACGGAAAGGAGCATCTTTTCCACAGGGAGGGACGGAGGATGGCGACTTGGGGAGTTCTGCTGCTGCCCTGGGCCCTGACCCCCGGAGGTCACCGGACGTCCCCGGAGGCCCCCGGGAGGCCCGCGAAGGGCTCAAGACGTCCGTGATTGTCGAGGGCGAAGGATTGGCACGAGGGACGGAGAACCCCTCCCTCGTGCCTCTTCCTCGTCTTCCCCCTCCCTCGTCCCCCCATGTCCTCCACCCCATCCTCCTGGCCTCGTTTCCTCGTCCTCTTCTTCCTCGCCTTTCCCACCTCCACCTCCTCCTCCTCCACCTCCTCCTCCTCCTCCCGCACATCATCCTCGTCTTTCCTTGTCCGCTTCCTCCTCCTCCTCCGCCTCCTCCTCCTCCTAACCTCCCCTTCCCCTCCTCCTCCCCCTCTACCCCTCCTCCCTCTGCTCCTCCTCCTCATATGCTCTTTTCCTCGTCCTCTTCCTCCCCCTCCTACCTCCTCCTCCTCCTCCTCCTCCTCCTCCTCCTCCTCCTCCTCCTGCCTCCTCCTCCTTCTCCGCCTCCTCCTCCTTCTCCTCCTTCGCCTCCTCTTTCTCTTGCTCTTCCTCTTCCTCCTCCTCGCCTCCCCTTCACAATTTACCAATACGACTACTACTCTCCTCTCTCCCCTGGTGGCGTCCGGGGATTGTTCGGCCCTCCTGCGCGTACGGTTTTTTACACAGAATTCCCGGGAGTTGGGTTTTCGCTTGGGGGTTTTCGCGTGGGCTTTTTTCAAAATGGTGCTCTCGCCGAAGCGCTGCCTTCATTCTCGGGCTACCGCTCGTTCCGAATCGTGCTCCTGCTGCAGCGCTGGCCTCATTTCCGCGCTTCCGCTCGTTCCGAATCGTGCTCCCGCTGTAGCGCTGGCGTCATTATTTCCAGCGCCATGCCACGGCATGTTTTTCGGTCCTTCCAAATAGGCCCCAAAATCTAGAAAATGCCTTCCGAATCAACCATCGGAAGTGATTCCACATTCGGTGCCGATTCGTTGATTTGTTGGGCCGCAGAACCCCCCCCGTGGGGGCATCGCCACGCCAGTCTATGTCAGGTTACGCGTCCTCATTTCCGCGCCTCCGCGATTGGGTTTTTGTTCAAAATGCTGCTCTCGCTGAGGCGTTGGCTTCATTGTCGGGCTACCGCTCGTTGCGAATGGTGCTCCCGCTGCAGCGCTGGCCTCATTTCCGCGCTTCCGCTCGTTCCGAATCGTGCTCCGCTGTAGCGCGGGTGTCATTATTTCCAGCGCGCCATATCACGCCATGGCTTTGATTTCTTCCAAGTAGGCCCCAAAATCTAGAAAATGCCCCCTGGAAAAAACATCGGAAGTGATTCCACATTAGGTGCCGATTCGTTGATTTTTGGGGCCGCAGAACCCCCCCACTTTGGGGCGTCGCCACGCCATGCTATGTCAGGCTTCGCGTCCTCATTTCCGCGCTTCCGCGCTTGGACTTTGATTCAAATTGTTGTTCTCGCTGAAGCGCTGGCCTCATTTTCGGGCTGCCGCTCGTTGCGAATCGTGCACCCGCTGCAGCGCTTGCTTCATTTCCGCGCTTCCGCTCGTTCCGAATCGTGCTCCCGCTGCAGCGCTGGCATCATTACTTCCAGCGCCATGCCACGGCATGGTTTCCGGTCCTTCCAAAGAGGCCCCTAAATCTAGAAAATGCACCCCGAAAGAACAATTGGAAGTGATTCCACATTCGGTGTCGATTCGTTGATTTTTGGGACCGCAGAAGCCCCCCTCCTCCCCCCCGCTTTGAGGTGTCACCACGCCATGCTATGTCATGTTACGCGTTAGTCTTCAACACCATGTTATGCCGTGTAATGCTATGCCATGCTACGACATCCGATTGTGCGAATAGAGAGGGGATCTACGCCATGGTAAGGGATGGGAGGGAGGGGTAAGACGTCAGATATGACGCGAGCGCACCTAGCCTGCCCCTCCCCCTCCCCCCTTACCCCTCCTCCCTCTGCTGCTCCTCCACCTCCGCCGGCGACGGGCAGGCCTCACGGCGGCGGCGGCGGTGGCCACCCTGCGGGCCGCCGCGCGGCGTCGCTGAGCGGCATCCCGCGCGCCCCTGGTGGGGGGTGCGCGGCGAGGGCCTGGGAGGGATGGAGGAGGAGGAGGAGGAGGAGGAGGAGGAGGAGGAGAGAACAGGAGATTGTGGAGTCCCTCGCCCTTCGACGAGTGTTTCCGTATAGTTGTCCGTGAAGTGTTCGAACATTATTCCTCTTCTTCCTTCTCCTCCTTCTCCTCCCCCTCTCCCTCTGTTTTCCCCTTCGCCTACTCCTCCTCTTCCTCCTTCTCTCCTCCTCCTCCTCCTCCTCCTTCTCCTCCTCCTCCTTCCAACATAATCGAACTGTTTGCTTCTCCTGCACCCCCTCTCCAGCCCCAAAAATAATAATAAACAAACAAAGGTGTGCTGCCTCCCGTTTTTTTTTGTTTTTTGTTTTTGTTGTTGGGGTGGGGTAGAGGGGGGTGGGAGGGAGGTAGGGGAGCAGGAGAGGGAGGCCCCAGATCTTTTTGTCCTTCGCCTCCTCCACCCCGAAAAAAAGGCGAAGCCGATTTGTTTATCCCCTGGGGGGGGGGCGGCGGCAAAAAAAAAAAATCCGACGTTGCCTCATCTGCCCTCACCTCTGGAAGGATTCCGATTGACAGCCCCCACAAGAAGGGTTCATAGTGAAATACTCCACAAGAGGATTCCTATCGAAACCCTCCACAAGCATTCCTACTGGAATCACCTGCAGAAGGATTGCTATTGAGATGCTCCGAATAAAGAATCCCCCCGTTAGCATTGCGCTGGAATTGGTTTGGTATTGCGCTGGAATTTTGTTTTGCAGTGCGTTGGCATTGCGCTGGCACTTCGCAAGCATTGCGTGGGCGAATCCTGATGGAACCCTCCACAGAAGGACTCCCATTGAAACCCCCTATAAGAATGGACTTCTATTGAAACCCTCCATAAAAAGGGTTCATATTGAAATCCCCCACATAAGGATTCCATGCGAAGCCTTCCACTGAAGGATTCCTATTGGAATCTACCACAAAAAAGATTTCCCCAATTGGCATTGCATTGGCATTGGGTTGGGATCGCCTTCGCATTGCGCTGACATTGCGTTGGCACTGCGTTGGCATGCGCTGACAATGCGCTGGCGAGTCCTGATTACCCTTTTCGCAGAAGGATTCCGATGGAAACCCTCCACAGAAGGATTCCTATCGAAATCTACCGCATAGGATTGCTTCCATTGGCGATGCATTGGCATTGGATTGGGATCACCATGGCATTGGTTTTTGCATTGCGTTGGCACTGCTTTGGCATTGCGCTGACGAGTCCTAATCGGACGCTCCACAGGGAAATTCTTATTAATCCACCCCAACAAGAAGGATGCTTAGCGACGCCTCCCACACACCCACGAAGGATTCAACTTGAAATCCTCCACAGAAGGATCGCATTCGAAGCCCTTCACATAAGGATTCCTATTGAAATCTTCCGAACATGGGTTCGCAATGACATCATCCCAGAAGGATGCCCCTAATCGGCATTGGTTTAACATTGTGTTGGCATTGCGTTGGAAATGCGCTGGCATTGCGCTGGCGATTCCTAACGCCTCCCTTCGCAGAAAGATTCATATTGCAACCCCCAGAAGAAGGATTCCCATTGAAATCCACCGCGAAGGATTGCCCCCAACGGCATTGCATTGGCATCGGATTTGGGATCGCATTGGCATTGCGCTGGCATTGCGTTGGCACTGTTTCAGCATTGCTCTGGCATTGCGCTGCCGAGTCCGAATGCCCCCCTTCGCAGAAGGATTCCTATTGCAACCCTCCACAAAAAGGATTCCGATTGAAATCTACCACGAAGGATTGCCCCAATTGGCATTGGGTTGGGGTCGCCTTGGCATTGGTTTGGCATTGCGTTGGCACTGGTTTAGCATTGCGCTGGCGAGTCTTAGCGCCCCCCTTCGCAGAAGGATTCCTATTGAAACCCTCCGCAAAAAAATGTTTCCGTTTGAAATCTACCACGAAGGTTTGCCCCGAACGACATTGCATCGGCATCGGATTTGGGACCGCATTGGCACTTCGTTGGCATTGCGGTGGCACTGCTTTGGCATTGCTCTGGCATGGCGCTGGCGAGTTCCAACGCCCCCCTTCGAAGAAGGATTCCTATTGCAACCCACAGGAGGATTCCTATTGAAATCTACCACAACTGATTGCCTCCATTGGCATTGCGTTGGCACTGCTTTAGCATTGCGCTGGCGAGTCCTAACGCCTCCCTTCGCAGAAGGATTCCTATTGAACCCCCCCGCAGGAAAGGATTCCTTTTGACAACAAAGGATTGCCCCCAACGACATGGCATTGGCATTGGATTTGAGATCGCATTGGCATTGCACTAGCATTGCGTTCTCACTGCTTTGGCAGTGCGCTGGCAACGCGCTGGCGAGTTCCAATGCCTCCCTTCGCAGAAGTATTCTTATTACAACCCCCCGAAGAAATCTGCCGCAAAGGATTGCTTCAATTGACATAGCATTGGCATTGGATTGGGGTCGCCTTGGCATTGGTGTGGCATTGCGTTGGCACTGCTTTGGCATTGCGCTGGCATTGCGCTGACGAGTCCTCGCGGCTCTCTCCGCAGAAGGACTCCTCTTGAAAGCCTCCACAAGAAGGGTTCCGATTGAAACCTCCACAAGAAGGATTCCGAGTGAAACTTTCCAAATGAGGATTCCTGTCGAAACCCTCCACAGAGGCATTCCTATCGACATCCTCCGAGTCAGGATTCGTCATGACATCATCCACAGAACATTTCTTATTGAAATCCACCGGAAGAAAATCAACCCCAAGTGGCATTGCATTGGCTTTTGTTGGCAATGTATTGGTGTCACATCGGCATCTGTTATTTGAAGAGGCTGGCAGAATAACGGTACAACTTATGGAAGGAGTGCATCGATTCACATGTACATATATATATATATATATATATATATATATATATATATAAAAAAAAATTACACAGAGAGAGAGGCAAGATAAGCATACTGATGAAGAGAAGGGTGCAAGCTCGTAAAAAAACATCTGGGACGGCGAGAGACTCCACAATCCCCCGGCCTGGGGAGGGGGAGGGACGAGGGGGAGGGAGGGAGGAGGGGGAGGAGGGGGAGGAGGAGGAGGGGGAGGAGGGGGAGGGAATGCGTGAAACGATTTCAAATGTTATGAACGAATGTGCGCGGCGCCAAGGCGAAAGCCACATTTTGAAAAGGAACCGCCCTCAATCCGTGAAGCTCTTGCAAATGTTTCAAACGAATGTGCACGGCGCTAAGGCGAGTACCACATTTTGAAAACGACCCGCCCTCAATCCGTGAAATTCTTGTAATTGTTTACAACGAATGTGCGCGGCGCTAAGACGAGCGCCAGATTTTGAAAACCACCCGCCCTCCATCCGTGAAGCTCTTGCAAATGTTTAAACATCCGTGAAGCTCTTGCGAATCTTTCAAACGAATGTGCGCGGCGCTAGGGCCCACATGTTGAAAACCACCCGCCCTCCATCTGTGAAACTGCCGTCACTTTTGAAGCTTCAGAATCGTAAATGGTGAGGAAGTCTCAGGCGAAACGCCCGGCCCGCCCTAAAGTCTGGCCTCGGGGTGCGACAGGGAGAAATTAGTTCTAAGGAAAAGGAATTGACAAGGATGGGGAGGAGGAGGAGGAGGAGGAGGAGGAGGCGGATGGAGGAGGAGGAGGCGGAGGAGGAGGAGGAGGAGGAGGATGGAGGAGGAGGAGGAGCAGGAGCATGAGGAGGGGGGTAGCGAGCTAGGGGGGGACCCAGACATGCCCTGGTCGTGTGGAAAACAAACAACAGGACGCGGTCTTTGGCCGTCTTCAGCCTCCGGGTGCCTTCGCCGGGCCCCGGGGCTGTCATGAAACGCTTCGCGAGGAGAAACCGGCCCAAGGGAAAAGGTCGGGACGTCCAGTTCCAGGGGGCGTATTCAATTCATAAAAGCATCGCATGTCTGGGAAGGAATCCTCCTCTCCTCCTCCTCTCTTCCTCTCCTCTCCTCCCTCCTCTTCTCCTCCTCTCCTCCCTCCTCCCTCCTCCCTCCTCCCTCCTCTCCTCCCTCCTCCCTTCCTCCTCCCTCCTCCTTCCTCTTCTCCTCCGCTCTCCCTCCTCTCCCCCTCTTCTCCTCCTCTCCATGAGGAGGAGGTCAGAGGTAAAAGCAATATCGATGCGGCTCCTCGTGCTGGATGGCCCTCTTCGCCACTGCTGGGTTCTCCTCGAGGTTCGGGCCAGAATGCGCCCTGGGAGAGGTCCAGGAAGTAGCGGTATCGGCACCTTGTTGTCCCCCCAGGAGGGGGCGGGAGAAGGAGGAGAGAGGAAGGAGGGAGGGAGGGAGGGGGTGGGAGAGAGAGGCAGGAAACAGGAGGGCGGGGAGGAGAAGGTGAAGATCGGGATGAGGGAGGCGGTGACCGTGTAGGAGATGGGTATTGTGTTGGGGGCGGAGGCTGTGCAGTAGATGGGTGGTGCGCTGGAGACTGAGACAGGGCGGCGGGCGGTTGGGCAGGCAAGCGGCGGGTCGGGATGTTCACAAACGTCTACCATGTGCTCCTTTGCAGCGGAAGGCGGTTGAGTCGATGGTTGCGTACAGGATCTCATCAGACTGGTGTTGTGTTGGAGAGGGAGACTGTGCAGTGGATGGGCGTTGCGCTGGGGGCGGAGGCCGCGCAGTAGATGAGTGGGTGGTGCAGTGGAGACGGCGACAGTTGAGTAGCGGCGGGCGGCGGGTGGACGGCGGGCGGGCGGCGGGTAGGAAGTGAACCCCACCCTCCCCCTCAGAAATCGTGAGGGGTAGGGGTAGGGTTCGCATGTGGCCCCCCGATACTGGTGGCGTGTTGAGCAAGGATGTTGGTGATGGTGCGTTTTTCAGACGGAGACCGAGGCTGTGTCAGCGGAGAGCTTTCGCGCGGCGCTCGGCGGGCGGGCGGGCGGACGGCGGGTCGAGATTTGGACGGAAGGCCGGAGGATGCCCGCTGGCAGTGGAAGGCTGTTGAGCAGATGGGTGGGCGCGAGTGGATGGGCGTCGTGTTGGCGACGGGGACCTTGGTATCGCTCGGACGTGTGCACTTTTTCCTGCGAAAAAACCGCGCACGAAACCAAAGAAGCACAGGGAATGGACGTCCGAGCGATGGCCAGGGACTCTGTAGGAGATGGGTAGTATGTGTTTGGGGCGGAGGCTGTGCAGTAGATGGGTGGTGCGCCGGAGGCGGAGACAGTCGAGTAGCGGCGGGCGGGCGCGCGGACGGCGAGTCGAGGTCCTTGTAGAACTAAGGATGCTCTCTTGGATTGGAAAGCCGTTGAGTATGCTTGCTCGTGGAGCAGATCGACGTTGCGTTGGAGACGGCAACCGCGTGGGAGAAAGGTGTTGTGTTGAGGACGGGGGCCGTGCAGTAGATGGGCGGTCGGGCAGGCAAGCGGCGGGCAGGGGTTTGAATAACAGGCCTCAGGGTGCTCTCTTGCAGTAGAAGGCCGTTGAGTAGGTACGTGCGTAGACAAGGGCTCCCTCGAGGACCCGAAGTGATTCGCGCTTCGCGCTTCGCGGTGCGGCTTCGATTCCTTCTCATCCTCCTCTTTTCCCCTGGGGGCGGCGCGAGAGCGCGAAGTTAGGCGCCCTTAGTAGAGTAGAGTAGATGGGCGTCGTGCTGGAGACGGCGAGCGCGCGGGAGATGGGCGCTGTGTTGGGGGCGGAGGTTGTGCAGAAGATGGGTCGTGCGCCGGGGAAGGAGACCGTTGAGCAGCGGCGGGCGGCGGTCGAGCGCGGGCGGCTGGTCTGGATTTCCATTGGCTTCCTAATGGTGTTCTCTTGCTGTGGGAGGCCTTTGAGTAGATGGGTGCGAGGAGTAGATGGGTGTTGCGATGGAAACGGAGCTTGTGCAGTAGATGGGTGGCGTGCTGGAGACGGAGGCAGGGCGGCTCGCGATCCAGCAGGGAAGCGGCGCGTCGGGATGTTGATAGAACCCAATTGGATGCTCTCTTGCAGTCGATGGGTGGCCCAATGGGGACGGTGACCGTTGAGCAGCGACGGGCGGCGAGCAGGCGGGTGGCGGGTCGGGATTGTAGTCGAAGTTCTCAGGATACTCTCTTGCAGTGGGCAGTTGTAGAGTAGATGGATGCGTAGAGTAAGAAAGTTGGGTGCTGTGTTGAAAACGGGGACTGCGCAGGAGATGGGCGTGTTGTTGGGGGCGGCGGTTGTGCATTAGATGGGCGGCGCTCTGCAGACGGAGACTGCTGAGTAGCGGCGGGCGGAGGCGGGCTGGCTGGCGCTTGTTCAGAATTTTGATGGAGATCCAAAGGATGTTCTCTTGCAGTGTGAGGCTGTTGAGTAGAGGGATGCGTTGAGTAATTGGGTGTTGCGTGGGAAACGGAGGCTGCGTAGGAGATGGGCGTTGTGTTGGGGGCGGTGGCTGTGCAGTAGATGGGCGGTGTGCTGGGGACAGGAGCTGTTGAGTGAGCTGCTGGCGCGTTGAACAATGATGCCGCTTAGTATATGGGCGTTGTGTTGGAGAGTGAGGCCGTGTATCTGGCGGGCGCTCGAGCGGCGGCGGGCGGGCGGGCGGCGGGTCGAGATTTAAATGGAACTCCAGAGGATGCTCTCGTGCAGTGAAAGGCCTGTGAGCAGATGGGGTCGCAGAGAAGATGGGCGTTGCATTGAAAAAGGAGACTGCGTGGGGGGTGTCCGTTATGTAGGGGACGGAGGCTGTGCAGTAGATGGGTGGCGTGCTGGAGACGGAGACCGTTGAGCATCGGGATTTTGATAGAAGTTCTCAAGATGCTCTCTTTCAGCGGGCGGATGCTAAGCATGTGGGTGCGTAGGGTAGATGGGCAGTGTATTAGAAACCGAGACTGTGCAGGAGATGGGCTTTTTGCTGGGGACGGAGGCTGTGCATTAGAAGGATGGTGTGCTGGAGGCGGAAGCAGTTGAGTAGATTGGTAGCGCGTTGAATTAAAGTATATCGGTGTTGCGTTGGAGATTGAGGCCGATTATTTGAGCTGTGAGCGACAGGCGGGCGGGCGGGGGGTCGATATCATGATTGAATTCCTAGGGGTGCTGTCTTGCAGCGTAAGGCTGTTTAGCAGATGGGTGCGTAGAGTAGTTGGGTGTTGCGTTGGGAACGGCGATTGCGTAGGGAGATAGGTGCTGTGTTGGGGTCGGAGGTTGCGCAGCAAATGGGAGGCGTATTGGAGACGGAGAGCGTTGCGAAGCGGCGGGTGGCAGGCGGGCGGGCAGGTGGCGGACCGAGTTCTCAAATTCCAAGAGAACTTCTAAAGGTGCTCTCCTGCAGTGGGATGCGCTTTGAGTAGACGGGCCTTGCGTTGGAAACGGGCAATGTGCAGGAGACGGGTCGTGTGTTGGGGACAGAGGCTGTGCAGTAGATGGATGGTGTGCTGGAAACGGAGACTGTTGAGCAGATGGGTGTGGAGAGTAAATGAATGCTGTGCTGGAGACGGAGACGGTGTAGGAAATGGGTGGTGTGTTTGGGACTTGCGATGGGGACGGAGGCTAGTAGATGGGTGGCGTGCTGGAAACGGAGACAGTTGAGCAGATTGGTGTCGTGTTGGACACGGGCACTGTGTCCTGGCACCCGGTACCTCCCAGGGGCCCCCGGGACCCCCAGGGCCTCGCAGAGGCCTCGCAGGTGCTCTGGGGCCTCCCAGGCTTCCCACGCCTACGAGGGCGGGCTGGCCGAGCGGGGGGGAAAAAGGGAACGGTAAAGCAATGAAAAGGGCGAACGCGGGGAAACACAGGAGCGGGAAGACATGGGGCCTCCCAGAACGTCTGCCCCTTTTCTCCAAGGGGGTGGCTTGAGGGCGCGGTGGTGCGAGGATGATCGCGGGGCGCGAGGGCGCAAAGTTGGGCGACCTAGATGCTGACCTGATCATGGCCGTCAACCGAGCCTATCGTGCCAGGGTCCTCATCCAATTCCTCCTCCTCCTCCTCCTCCCCCTTCTCCTCCTCCTCCTCCTCCTCCTTCCTCAATTCCTCAATTCCTCAATTCCTCCTCTTCTGTGACGCTCCGCTCGCCGGCATCGTCAACACATTGTGGAGTACGTGATCCTTGCCTTCCTGAGCAGCGGCTGCCGCCGTCTACTTCCGCCGCTTCTTCATCTACCGCATCTTATGCACGCTGCTCGTTCCGTGGTTACCCTCCTCCCCTCCTCCCCCTTTTCTGTTTGCGGGATTGCTTCTCGCGTCCCTGCGTCGGAGTGGGGGGTTCGTTGTCTTGCATGGCCCTACCCACCACCAGGGCAACCAGAAGGGTTGCAGGCAAAGGCAAGTGCAGCTATCCTCTCTTCTCTCCTCCCCCCACTCCCCCTCTCTCCCCTCGCTTTTCTCCCTCTGCTCGAGCATGCTGCAAGCGTGCTGCTTTCGCCGCTCCCATATTCAGTTATCCGCTGAACTCGTAGTCTCCTGCGCGCCGATGGTGTTGCCATGGCCTCGCATTCGTTTATTATGTAGGTATTATAATACTGCTCTCCAGTCATCTCCGCTTGGTATCACCGATACGATATTGGGGTGGATTCGTATCGCTCCGCATTCTCACAGTGTTGTTGGGAGAGTGTTTTCCTAAGCAGTGGCGGAAATTACCTCTTGGTATTGTTTCCGTTTGTGCAGTTCCCCACTTCCCTCCCTCCTGCTCCTTTTCGTCGTCGTCCTCCTCCGCCTTGGCGTCGAAACTGTGTAGGATAATATGCAGGCTTAGTTGTCGCTGCATGTTTGTGTGACGCATTCGGTCAGTCTCTCCCCACGCCCTGAGGGGTGATCTCTTCCCTTTCTCCGCGCTGCGCTGATGATGAACATATCCTCCTCTTTTCCCTCCTCCTCCTCCTCCTCGTCCTCCTCCTCCTCCTCGCCTCCTCCTCCCCCTCCTCCCCCCCCTCCCCCTCCCCTCATCCTCCTCCTCCTCCTTCCCCTCCTCCTCCCCCTCCTCGCATGGGGGGAGGGACGAACTCGCCGCTGCCGTGCGCCCACGACGGCGCTCCGCTCACGGCCTTGCGTGGCGCTGCTCGCGAGGCCGTGTACAGTAAGCGTGGGCGTCCGCGGCTGTCCCTTGGGCTGCGCGGTGCGGGCGGCTGAGACAGGCGGCGCGCGTGTCCTGGCCCCGGCGCGGGGGAGGCGGCGAGGGACAGGAGGAGGGACAGGAGGAGGAGGAGGAGGAGGAGGAGGAGGAGGAGGAGGAGGAGGAGGAGGAGGAGGAGGAGGAGGAGGGGGAGAGTGGGGTGGAGGAGGGGGTGGGCGAGGAGGAGGGTGGAAGGCGAGGAAGGGGAGGGCGAGGAGGAGGAGGAGGCGGAGTAGGGGTGGCGGGTGGGCAAGCAGTGAGGATGATGGTGGGCCTCTTGAGGCCATCATGTGGCTTCTTTGGGCCACATCCAGCGCCCTCGGGTCCATCTCGGTGTCCCTTCGGACCTATTAGGGTGGACTTGGAGTGCCGTCTTGGGGTCGTCCTGGGACCATCCTTGGGTGGCATTGGGTGCGTGTTGGGAGCCGTATCGGCGGGGCCATCTTGGCGCACACCGGGGCCGCCGAGCCCTCCCTGGGGCGCTCGCTGGAGAGAGGGGGCCTCTGGCGCGCCTGACCAGAGCCACCCGGGGCAGCAAAGAGGTTAGCGCAGAAGCATGCGCGAGACGCTCCAGGCTTTTCGCGAGCCTCTCCTCGGGGTTCTCCTGGGGTCCACCTGGGGGGCCCGGCGGGCCGGGCGCCCCGGGCATCCTGAGTCCTTCCCTCTTGGAGGGCGCGTCGAGGGGGGGGCAGGCCGATCAGGGATAGGGGAGGGGGGAGGGGCAAGGGCCGGGGGTGGGCGGGTGGGGGAGAGAGTGAAAGAGAAAGGCAGGGAGGGAGAGAGAGGGAGGGAGCGAGGGCGAGGGAGAAGGCGAGAGAGAGAGAGAGAAGAAACAAACAAGAAACAAAAGGAGAGAAAGAGAGAGAGAACTATATATATATATATATATATATATATCTAGAGAGAGACAGAGAGAGACAGACAGAGAGAGAGAGAGAGTAAGAGAGAGAGCGAGAGGGAGGGAGGGAGGGAGGGAGGCACGTTGAGGATGAGGGTGGGCCGACCATGCTGTGGTTCGTTTGCCGTACCCTCCCTTCGTCCCGTCGATCCGCCCTCTGCACTAAGATGGGCCAGCCGGCCACACCGTCGCCATCATTCGGCCCCTGCGCGCGAGGTTGCCAGAGGGCGCCCCGTGCCTCCCCGGCGTGGTGGCGGAGGGCGGGTCCCAGGCCGGGCGGGCCCGTGGGCGGACGGCCGGGGACTGCCAGCTGCGCGCCCCGAGGGCAGCCGGCCCCACGACCGGCGGACCGAGAGGGCCCCGCGGGCGGAGAGGGCGTCCTGCGCTGGCAGGGCGGCCCCGTCCGCGCGGGGGGGTGGGGGGGGGCAGCACGGCACAGGGGCACGGGAGCCAGGCCACGGCCCGGGCGCCTGGCAGCAGCCGCCCCCAAGAGGCCGCCCGACCATCCTTTCCAAGCAGCCCGTGCTGCCCGAATGGCGGCCGAGGTCAAGTTCCGCCACGGCTCGGCCGTTCGGCTTTATCATCCTCCGCCTCCTCCCTCCGTTTCCTTCCCCGTCCCCCGCTCAGGGGGGACAAGAGAGAGGGGAGGGAAGGGGAGGGGTAAGACGAGAGGGAGGGGAGGGAGATGAGAGGGAGGGGAGGGGGGGGGGAGACGAGATGGAGGGGAGGGGAGGGGAGAGGGGCAGAGAGGGGGAGGTGATAGGCCACCCCCCCCCCCTCCCCCCTCTCTGCCCCCCCTCCATACGCGCCCTCCCCTCGCCAGCCCCCCCCCCCTGTGCTCGGAAGCAGGGGGGTAGGCGGCGGACGCGGCAGCAGGGCGCAGACGACGACGACGACGACGACGACGACGACGACGACGACGACGACGACGACGACGACGACGACGACGACGACCACGACCACGACCACGACCACGACGACGACGACAACCGAGGCGAGGACGACGAAGGCGGCGGCGGAAGCCCGCGGCCGCGGACGGCTCCAGGCGTTCGGGCAGTGCCGCCCCTCCCCGTCGCACTACGCTCGGCCGCCGCTCGTGCATAGCAGCGGCGCGCAGGGGGCGCCGGAGGTGGGCCCCTCGGGCGTGGGCCAAGGCTGCCGGGCAGAGCCGGGCATCGCTCGGGCGTGCGCGTTTCTTCTCGGCGAGGACCATCGAGGAGCATCATGGGTCGTCGTTCGAAAAGCAGAGCCACGAAATCGAGAGATGCACTGGGAATGGACGTCCGAGCGATGGCGAGGGGAGCGTGGAGGGAAAAAGCACGATGGCCGTGGCCAAAATGTCGCGGGGTCTTGCCGACGCCGCTCTTGATCATGGACCATGTTGGCCGAGGGGGGATGATCCTCGGATGGACTAGGATCGAGATGGACACCGTCTTGAGGGGCCCTCGTCGCCACGGCCAGAGTCTCCTCGAGCTTCTGAGCAGCACTCCCCCCGGGAAAGGTCCCGGGAGCAGCGGTCTTGGGAGTAGCTGCATCGTTGGATTGCTCCGGTCCTCCTCCTCCTCCTCCTCCTCCTCCTCCTCCTCCGTCTCCTTCTCCTCCTCATCATCATCCTCCCCCTCCTCCGTTTCCTCCTCCGTAATTAGCCATTTTGGCTCAAGGCTCTTTTAGAACCCGTTCGGGCGCTAAGGGGGCTGAGAGCCCCGCAGCTTCGGCTCCAAGCCCCCGTGCTCCCCAGCTTTCCCTGCGCGCGCGCCCCCCTCGGCCCCGCGCTGGGCCGCTCCATGCCCGAGGCGAAGCCGCCCAAGACCCCGAAGAAGGAGAAGAAGGAGGATCAAATTGATAAGAAGCAGAAGCGCCACGCCTCGCGCGAGCCCTCGCCCATGTCAGCGGCTAGCGCGCCCATTGCTGGCCCCGCGGCCGGCGCTGCTGCTGACAGCTCCGGGCTACCTCCTCCTGCTGCTGCTGCTGGTGGCAACCGCCTGCAGCAGGATCCCAACAATCACGAGGATCGATCGCTCCTCGCTGAAGTTCGACGTCTGGTCACCGCCGAGGTCTCGGCCACCGTTGGCTCCAAGCTCGGCTCCCTCGAGGCCTCCATCTCTTCCGCCATCACCTCTGACATGGAGTCCAAAGTCGCCTCCTCTGTGGATGAGGCGCTGGCTCCCTTGCTGGAGAAGCTTGATGGCGTTCGAGCTGGACTGGCAGCAGTGCCCGCACTGGTGGAGAAGCCCCTCCTGGCCAAGGCCCAGGAGTCCGTTGCGGCGCAGTTCAAACGCTACCAGCAGCAGCTGGATAAGCTCTCCCTCCGGGTCCAGAAGCACTCGGTTTCCATCGAAGAGCACGAGGCGGCGATTGCGGAACTTCGCAAGGACATCACGTTCCTCAAGGGCGAGATGGCGACGGCCAATGACGAGGCCAAGCTCATCGACATCTCGCAGAGCGGCTTCGACCGCAAAATCGACCCGCCCATCGTTCGCATCTACGCCACCGCGCCGGCTCCTGGCGCGAGCGTCCAGACAGCTATCAGCGAATTCCTCACCGAGATCGGGATCAACCCCGGCAAGTACCAGTTCAAGGGCAAGTCCATCGGCCAGCACTTCGAGCTTGTCTTTGGGGGGCCGCTGGTCCCAGCTTCGCGCCTGGTGGCCCAAACGTTGGGCAATCTCCGCAAGGACGGCAACTGGCGCCAGTTCGTGGTGGACCTCCCTGCTGGAGCGGCAGCGCGTCTCCATCTGGGCCCTGACAAGTCGCCGAAGCAGATTGCTTCCGAAGTCCCCGGCAAGAAGGTCAAGCATGAGCTTACTCAGCGATCTGGTGGCACTTGGTTCTTCGACAGAGAGCGTTCGGTCATCTCGCAAAACTGGGTTGACGTCCGCAAGGTCGACCCGCAGCCCCCACGGGCCCCAGCGCGGTTCCACTTCAATCGGCACTTCTTCGAGGACAACGTAGAGTACGACAAGCAGGAAATGGTGGACCATCTACAGCCAGTGGTCTCTGGTGGACGCGTGGACCCAGAATGGTGCTTGCTTTAAGCTATTGGTGTCGGCTCTGTGGCCCGGGGGTGTGACAGACCCCATGGCCACGCTTTCGTTCTCGCCGTGGAATGCGCAAGCCTTGCTACAGTACAAAGGGGCCAAAGCCAGCATCAAGGCCCCATACCTTCGTGCTCTACGCCCAGATCGCTCGCTTATAGCAATTCAGGAAGTTCATGGTTGTCACGCGCAGCTCGTTCGCTTCATTCACTTGACCACGCCGAGTGTGACTGTCAAGTCTTCGTTTTTCCCTGGGCCTGCTGGTGTTCGTCGTGGCGGCGTGGCCACGCTGCTCCCTCCTGGTGTGCCATGGTCGCATGCCTCCCAGGCCGACCCCATCATTCCGGGACGCGTGCTGCCCCTGGTTAAAGTCTCGACACCTTCACGCTTACCCAATGCAGCATCCATAACCATGGCTTGAACACGGCACAGGTCAGGCTCATCACTCTCGAACTTGAGCAAGACCGTCGACGTGCTGAACTTGCTCTTGATCGTCATTTTCTGGTAGTGGTAGGTGATTTCAACTTTGCACCCGTGGCAGATCTACCCCTTCATCTTCCTCAGGCCGCCGAGCGTTCTGGCCACCTTCGTGCTCATGCACCCCGGTGGCGTGCGGCCTTGGATACTATGCTGGAGATACGTGCAGACCATGGCACGCATTTCACGGCCGATACCAACACGATCCCCCTCATCGATCGGTGTTTCGTGGCGGTTCCTGGCTGTGGGATGCGAATTCCATCTTCATGCTATTCTTCACCAGCAACCGGAGGAGGTACACACCCGCAAAATCAGCGACCACGCAGCGGTGACGTTTATCATCGAGCCTCGCGCCCGTCGCGACCCACAGCGCCTGCCGATCGCCGACCACATCTTGACCTCCAAGACCTTCAAAAATTTGGTTGCCGCGCATGAGCCTTTCCTTGCTTTGTCGACGTTCTCTCCGCCGATCGCGCTCGAGGAGCACGAGCTCTTCTTGAAGGAGATGGCGAGGCTTGCTCGTGACCAGCTCGTCTTCGCCGATCCCCGACATCTGGCGACGCTATTGCAGCTGGCGCGATCGATTGCGCGAGTGGTCTGGCGCAATGACACTGCCCTCGCTGATCGCCTTTTGCGCGGGCATCCTCTGACTAAAGACTTCGCGCCGGTTCGGGGGCATCGCGCCAGCCTCACTTCTTCGGAAGCTTTCGTGGCATGGTCGAATGAGGTCCAATGGTCTGCGGCTGAACGTCGCCAACGCGATCTGCAAGCCCGGCTTAATGACCAACCTCAGCACGCTCGCTCTGCTCAGCTACGTGGCCAGCTACAGGCCACCACGCGCAAGATGACGATCTGGGCGCCGAAGGGCAAGACCCTTCACCTGCACGGCATCATCCTTGACGATGGGAGTGCCGTGACTGACGCGCTGGAGATGT